ATGAGTTGTTTTTCTGGTCAAACACTACTAATTAGTAAAAAGCGCGGTGTATATAAGATGTCTTCCTATTTGCATCTAAGTAACTTCTCAAAGTGTTTCGAGGAAAGGTTTTCGAGGGCACCAATTATTCGTCAAATTTTGCATGCTACAGATCCTAGCGAGTAAGTTATTGGCCTTCACTATGAAAAAAGTGCTGTTCTTTTTTCAGATCTTGGGTCCAGCTATTCATACTACATGGACGATATGCGAGAAGGTACGTTTCGAACTGCCCTTTTGAAGTGTTTTTGACTATTAAATGAATTATACTTTATGTAATTTCATGTGTTTATGCGAAAACTCAATAAACATAAAGCATTTGGGTTTATTTATTATAACGTTATAACGCGCGTTATAATTAATTAAACTTTTCACCTTTTTCTCACAAAAAGTTCATTTAAATCACCTGAAGACGAAGAATTCTTCCTATTAGTGTGCACTAAGACGATTTCCATTATATCTCTGGAGGGAAATCTGATATTTTGAATTAAACAAAGTGCAGTCTTTTCTCAGATCTGATCAGATCTGAATCATACCCCATTTGCGCAAGACGTTTTGTCTGATTGCATACTAAACCTCAAACCCACAATTATTTTCCTGTTGAAATTGGCCGGAAAGGTAATCGTTTCAGTGGCTCCCCCTGCTGAATTCTCGGGTCTTAAAGAGCTTTTGTTCGATTTTGAAACCAATCCTTTTTTTATTAAGTTAGTAAAAGTTAGTTGGCAAATGTATTTTAGACGTATGGTTTTCAGGTAGAAATTTTACTTTTAGCTGTTTTGAAGGTAAAAATCCCTATTAACGAAATTGTGCATGGGTCGTTCGTGGTGTCAATTACAAGGTTCGCTAATCACTGGCCGTAGTTCGAGTGCACATATTCGAATCACTTTGAGCTAATAAAAAGCGTGTGCCAGTTCTCAAAGACACTCACTTTAAATATAAATGCCCGTTCTACAGTAGAGGTGCAAATTCATTTAAAAGCATGGCGAAAGAATAATACAGCTCTCTAGAAAATGCTGCATCCTCTCGTTGACCATCCGCTTTATTGCTCAGATCACAACATTCATTTGTAATTGTATCGTCCGTTACTTCCATGGTCTAGAAAACTGTTGATTTTGTCTTGTCTCCAGGGCAAACATCTGACCTACCAAATCTGTAGATTAATCTGTATGATGTTGCTTTTTTATCGTCTGCTGTCCACTATCAGTCGGCCGTAATATGTGCTCGAGGTATGACCAGCATTAATGTTAGCGATCGAATTACCATGGTTCGTGTTTCTTCTTCTGTAGTGTAGCGACTGACCTTATGGTGCTCCTCGCATCGCAGAGACTATCCACCACTTGGGTATCATATGCGCTTGGTGTACGGTATGGCGATCCTAGTATATCCTGCAGGAATATTTCTGAATTTGTAGCGACCGCTTTTATTTTCAAGACAGATGATTATATATGGATAGGTACTGGCTACGTAAACCCCTTACTACCTGAGTGGGACGTTGGACACCTATTTCAATATCTCCAAACAAGGCATTAGCTATGATCCCAGACATCTGCTTAATCGATTTTTGATGCTGCTTGACGCACATTTCACACCTACTACTGCATCATCTTCCGATGTGAACACTACGCGTTTCTTCCATCGACATCAGTAATATCATAATCACTTACTTCCGTAAGGCCAACGACGGGCCTGATAAGTGCTGTTACAGAAGCCTTAGCCCGAGGTTCTCTTAGCCTTCAAAACCTGCTTTACCTCAGTTCCGCACTGCAAACGGTCGAACATTCGATTCCACGCGCGCTTTTTCTTTGGCACTCCAGTCCTGATTGTCTTGTCACCCACATTATTGAGAATTTGAATGCGTGAAGATAGGCGCCTAATCGTGGTTTATTCTGAGTTAATGCCACGAGTTGGGCATTAAAAATTTATTGCTTCGATCAAAAATTCTTAGCCATAACTTACACTCATAAATTGTAACTATACACGAAGTGTACAAAGGATTATCTGGATCAGAAATAAAAAAATACTGACCGAAGTCCTCCTTTGAAAAAAGTGCTTCGACGGGATTCTATCTTGGCAAGCATGAAAAAAACTAAGGTTCTTCATTCGTATAAACTGGAAATAATGCATCCCAAGAAATTTAATTTGAAAAAGATGTTCTTTGGAATATAAAGATAAATTTAATCAGTGCGTTTTCGAGGCTGGTTCCCCAGCTCGTCTTCGGACTAACGAAAAATGTACAGAGAATAATTAAAATTTCAAACGTGCGGAAACAAATCAATAGTCATATGGTTTGAAGCCTGATTGGCAGTTGTGGCCTCTGTCAGTCTGTATTAAGCGGCCCTCGTCTCTTCCACCGTTATTTGAGGTGTTCATAAATCCCATCTAACTCTATGTGGCGGTTGATGCATGAATCGTCAGAGTGCATGGCCTCACTTCGCCCGTTTGAAATTTTAGTTTTTTTGGCACATTTCTCGTTAGTCTGAAGGCGAGCTGGGGAACCAGACTCGAAAATTCGCTGATTAAATTTACCTTTATATCCAAATATTCAAAATTGGGTACTTTTCTAAATGTGACATGATAGTTTCCATCTTTCTAAGAGAGGGCGATTTTAAGAAATAACCCCTCAGGCAGTTTTTTCCTTGTCTCCTGCGTTTATATGTGCATAGCCCACAGAAATTCTTAAAAAGCTGTGTGTGTGTGTGTCGTAGCCCATAGTTGGATCAGGAATCCCCGCTGGAAT